TTTTCCCTGCTGATGTCAAATAATTATAAAACAGCTACCTGCTAATGCGCCTTACGCACTTGTCATGAAAACAAATATTGACTTGGAACGCAGTTCCTCTGGGAGTACAGTAAAGTACTGTTGCACAGATCTGCGGTCAGGTGTAGCACCTTAATTATGCATCGGTGTCTATGTAAAGCAGATACATTTCTAAGAGCATGTAGATACTATATAAATAAAATTCTGATTTTTCTAGCACAGGATTTCAGTAATAATGCTATAAATAACTAAAAATGAATTATTTTGTTGCCATAAGCAGGTTGACTCTAAGAATATAAAATATGCATAGAAAGAACTATCGTTTTAATCAGATATGCATGATCCATCTGATTTGTTTAAAATCTTCAATAAGAACTGTGTGGAATGGTTTTATTTTTGTATTAAAATGTTTATAAGAAGGACTTATTGTTCCTAGATAGAAGAATGTTAGGTCATGTGACCTAAAAAGAGATTTAAGAGCATTTTAATTGATCTCCTTTCTTCAGTGAAGTAGGAAGGTGATAAATAATTAGTCTTCCCTGAAGCATAATTAAGAAGTTAAGTCTTCTGATGAAACTTCATTTAAACAAACAGTGTTTTAAAGCATACTTTTATATTTTGAATATATGCTTTCCCTAGTTATTTCAAGCTCTAACCATCTTACATCAGCTTATTGCCAATTAAAGCAATTTATACGTTTTTAAAGGTCAGAAATAAGGCCTTGCAAGGTTTCTCGAAGTAAGGGATGAAGCATCCAGTCCTATGAGTGACTCTCAGGCTGGTCAGTTTGAAATGAAAGGATGAAAAGAATGCTTACAATTCTTGAACTGGGATTTTTAAATATATTTTTTTCCCCCAGCGATAGTACTGACCCAAGTTCAGCAGAAAAATATCTAATAACCTTTTGTTTATCTCTGGGGAACCTTTTCATCATCAAAATGGCCATCCCCTTTTGCTTTTATTCTTAAAAATGTGAACTATGGAAACTGAGCCGCAGATCAACTTGAGCACAGCCAGGTCTGTCAGAATGCATGCATTTCACCTGAACCATGGACTGAAATCCACCCCTGTGCGTGAGGTATCAAGTGGATCTGTAATATTGGAGCCCTGTTTTGATATTTTATTGACTTCTCCTTTTAGAGCCAGGTAAAGGGTCAGATAATTAACACATGCTGTATATAGAAAAAATAATTGGCTTTTTTGTTCAGTTGCCATCCATGGAAAGAGTAGTCTTTATCAGTACTGTCTGTCACTGTCTGGTGAACTAGGGGGAGCTGTTACTGTAGTCTGTATGACCACTACTTGCTTTCCTACTTCCAAGTCCCTGAAATTTATCATGAAGCAGAGAGCACATTCCTTTTCCCTTCCCTGTGAATAAGGCCCTCCTTGTTTCTCACTGAAGATCTCCTACTAGTTGTCAACATAGCATAACTTCAGCAAAGAGACCTGGCAGAAATACACACCCGTCCATCAGAGATTTAAACGGATGACTGAAGAATTGTGATGAGCACAGCTCTGCTGAATAGTTCTGCCACTGTACAATCTCACCAGACTTGCAAAAAAGAATCTGAGCCGATGCAACAAATGGCAGTAAGAATGGCATCTTATTCTTGTAGCTGTATTTCAGTGACTTTGTGGACTGGGGAAGGTGATTATTCACATCTTAAGGTGAGGGAAATCCAGAACACAGTTAAGACGCCACATGGGGCATGGCAGCCCACATGGTCACTCCAGCATCAGTTAATCCTTTGTCAAGGCAATGGACCTGGTTTGTCTGGAATCTATACCGGCTGCTACAGCAACACAGTAGTAAACCATAGCTCCTTGTCATGTATCTGTAGTTCCCCAAGCACAACGGAGCCTCTAAACATGACGATAACAGCCACAATAAGTAAAAGGGTTTGGGTCTGGTGTGTAAAAACTTCCTGCATCTAACATATTGTCTTAGCAGGGATGTGGAATAAAAATGAATTTATGAGGGGAATATAGTAAAAAGCAGTACCTTCTCTGCCAGCTAATTCAACTTAATCTTGCTTAAATATTGTTCCTTGAGAATGAAGAGGGTACGGGTATGGTAACAAGACCCAACTTTTGTGTCTTCCATAATATTAAAACCATCCTCTGATATGTGGCCAAAAATATTCTTCTGCAGCGTTTCGTACAACAGAATGCCAGATGAGATAAAAGTGAGATTTTTGTTAACAGGTGTTCAGAGCTGAAGGTGTTTTTTCTAGAGAAGTTGTTTCATACTGTAGCAGAAACAAGAAATACTGTGATCATGAGTTTCTTGAATCTCACCTTTATTGTTGAAAAATGACAGGAATTACGGTCTTGGTAGGGCTTCAAAGACTGGATTTAACCCTAATTTTTGGTTTCTTCTCTTCAGAGGTTAAACATGCTGTGAAGATTCCTGTGCTGATCGGGTCTGGAGTGACTCTGGAGAATGTGAGGAATTATTTGGATGCAAACGCTCTAATAATCGGTTCGTATTTCAAGAAAGAAGGTTATTGGGCAAATGGTGTTGATCCTGACCGGGTAAAGAAATTTATGGAACATATAAGTAAATTGAGAGAATGAGTTTGTCAGTAAACAGTATTTTTATATGTGTGTGTGTAAGTGCAGTATGATCCTGCAGTATGGTACATGGTACAGAATTAAGCACCAATGTGTGCCTGAACGGCTAGTAACATTAAATGCAAATGCACATCATCTCCAACACTAGCTGGGAAACACGGTGACACTTTACAATAAACTGCTGCTCTGATGTTTGTTTCTAGGCAGCACATTCTGTGGCACTCAAAACCATCGTCAATGCCAAACCAACTCTCCAAAGGCTTGTGTAACCTATTCTCTCCTATAAGTAAAATTCTTACAGAGTTCTAGAATTTGTAGTAAATATTCATCACAGGTGAGCAGAGTTTCATTTTGCCTGTGCCTACAATAGGATGCCCTAAGTTTACAGCTAAGAGTATTGTAAATTGGCCAAGTTAATTAGGCTTTCAGTTTCCCCATCTGTAAAATGATGATAATAATACCTACATCGCACGGGGGTTGTGAGACATAATAAATGAATGAATGTACAGCACTTTCATCTCCTCAAATGAAGGGCTCTATTAAAGTTCAAGATCGTTATTTTTTCATTAGAATTGTGCATTTATTACAAAAATGTAGTAATTGTATAACATACAAAAGTGTAAGATAATTGGGAAATAGATTTACTTACAATACTTATTAGAGAATAAATGTAAATATTTAATTACGTTTTAAGTAGAGTTGGAATTTAGTCAAAATGGGTTTGCAAAAATTGGAAATTTTAATAAAGGTTTATTGTTATTTTTCAGCAAGCTCCTACAGCTTGGTACTTCTCCAGACTAGTATTAGTGATGTTAAAAAGTGCCAGGTTCCTTCCAATACACAAGGTGTAATTATGATGGAAACCTTTCTACCAAAGCTGACAGGTAAACACAGATTTTCATTTTTCCTGTGAAATGTAGAGGAAAAATAAGACAGCCTCACTGTGTATGTTGTAAGGGATTTCCCTTGAATTTGATCTTTTAGCTCTAAGGAAGTTTAACCCAAAGAATACCTGTTATGTTGTGGCTGTATAAAATGTGGGCATATGTTTTCATTCTTTGGGACTGGGAGCTAGGTTTGTCTTCTGGGATCTCTCTTGTTCCCTGACATCTATGCATCAGGCTTCTGCTGATGCTAATCAAAGTTATATTGTAGATATCAAAGCAAGTGTACAAACACATTTTTTGTGTCAGCTGGCAGAGTGCCCATGCTTCTCTAAACAAAAGATACATCCTCTTTCCAAAGGCAAAAAGATTTTCAGTGGATTTAGTTTCATTAACGTAATGGTGATTCCAGAATATCACAGCATGAGATGGTCTCCTCAGGTTACTTTTTTTTCTGGACTGGTCTGTCTCCCACATGACTCCCACCAGAAGCAGTGAATTGTCTTTGGTGTGCTGCCCTCCTGAAAAAGAGGTTCTTTAGGCCTTATGACAACCTTAGCATCCTTAGCTTTTTCCCCTTTTCCTCCTAAATACACTGACAAGAAGTTCAGTGCATAGAAATCCTTTCAGGTGCCTGTTCATTGTTGCTGGCAGTACTTTTTCAGTGTCCACATTGACACAGGCATTTTAATCTGCCAAGTGTTTGAACTTACGTCAAAACCAACGATTCCATCCCATCCACTTGTCCCCACTGTTTCTCTTATGCTAGCAGAAGCATCATGTGGCCTCAGGGATCAGGAAACTGATTCTGGCTGAAAGCTAGTCTTATACCAGCCACACTCAGAGTGGGGGGAGGAAATTTAGGTCACATATTTTTCACCTTTTTGTATTTAGGACTGTTTTCAGGCCTTTCACAAGTTGCATGTATTTCACACATCATCACACAGAAGATTTAATGATGGTTGGCCCAACAGTTATTTTCTGATACAATTGTTACTGACTTTGAAGTTATTTTCAGTAAACCTGCAAGCTAGAAAGGCCAACATGTAAGCAATGAGCACTAGCCAGTGCTGTAGTGCCGTAACAAGAGTAAACATTGTGAAAATACAACTGATGCATTGGTGAGGATGGTTCAGTGATAACTGCATTTGAAGAAACTGGTTACAGTTGCCTAAAGTCACACATTCATTACTGAGTGTGAAAACAGTGTGCAACCAGCATGTTTCTTGAATGGGTTTCTACTCCATCACATCCTAAAAAACTTGGAAGTGACTGGGACTCGAATGGGTTTTCACCTGAGGATAAAAGGGTTGGTGAATGAGAGCTACTTCAGTGCTGTATGTAAGGTCTGAATGAATCATCATACATTGTCTCTGTGGGACAAACACCCTCCCGAGTTGGTGTAGTACTCATAGCACGCAGTGAATACTGCAGACGGTACTTCCACTCTCTGGATTTCATTTAACACACCACCGTAACACTTACGGAAGGAACAGTCCAGATTTTGGGTCTGTATTGTGACATGTGAATGTTAAGTGGAGAATATAGGGAACAGAAGTAAAGGAAAGCTGATTTTAAAGCTTGGAAATGTGACTGATCGCCAACTCTTTATCATTCTTTGTGCTGGAAGTATTTGTCTAGCAGCATTAAGCATCTGCTTGCCTGTTTCACGCAGATGCTCTAAGTAGAAATTGACCTTTTGTTCAGAAAGTGTTTGAATATTTAATGTAAAAATATTAAGTTATCAGAAAGGCTGTCTCTTTTGGGAAGAGTGTTCAATTTTTATACAGCCCAAGTTGTTGAAGTACTTTGGAGCATGAACAACCTCGGAGCAGAACAAAGCAGGCAGTGCTAATGTGTAGAAACTCCAGAAGTAAATAACAGCTGTTCAAGAAGACTTCTATTAAATATGTATTAATTAATTTGAAGTGCATCACTTAAATATGTGAAGAGATTATCTTGCGTTAATTTACATTAAAACACACAGCACTTGTTAGCCTCATTACAGTATCCTAAGTATATCCTAAGCTATCACCTCATCCTACATTGAGCGTTTTGTGGGGTGTTGATTGCTTTCGATTTGCCCTTTTAAAATGTCAGATAGTGGCCTCCCTTTCCTGTTGGATCCCTTCTTTCTCTCAGGTTTTGCTTTTGCATGGTTATTGTAGTTACGTCTGTTCTCTGCTGAGCAGAAAAAACTTAAAAATAGATTGTGAAAATATAGCAGTAATTGCCCACAGCTCAGTTCCTTAATGTGCCCGCCCTATCTTCACATGTGGTTCTCGCTGTTGACTTATGAACCAGCAGAGAGAATGTAAGCGTCTGTTTGTGTAGCCAAATGACTTTCCATGAAGATCAGTACCACTTTTAGTACAGGAAGGACACCTAGTGCAATGGGGATCTCTTCAGTGAAATTATAAATAAATAAAACTCACTGGTAATAATAGACTTTGTGGTCTAAATCAATGTATAAATCTTAATAAAGCCTCATTCCCATCATAAAACTTAAATATTTTTATCTGGACCTAATAAGACAAATAGGGTTTTACCTATTTTGGTGCTGAAAATATGTAAGCTTGTAAAAGTTCTGCATCATTTTCAGATCTTTTCTTCCCTGTGTCATTAGGCTGATGCAGCTGCTAGGCTTTTCTTTCATCCCATCGGTTTGACTGCCGACTCCCTGCTTGCAAGCTGGAGTCCAGTCCTTGTTTCCTGCACCTATTCCAACAGACTCCTCACTGGGGGAAAACTGAGGGATATAAAGGACTTGCAGGCAGATCCTGGCAGAGCAGGAAAGGGGAAGGAAAACAAAATATTTGACTTCAGCAAAATCTTGAAGTCCATGACAAATTGCTGCATGTCATGGTTCTTTGGAGACAAGTGAATGGGGATATTGGCTGTAGTTTCAGGTTGTTTTCAGCTTTAGTTAAGACACTGTGAGTTTACACCTAGGTTATGTTTCCAGGATGATCTCTGCTGGTATGTGTGATTAGGCAGACACTTTCTCCTAAATGAAAGCTGAGGTTTTGCAGGATAACTATGGCAATAAGGGGTGATATCTGTAGGAAAATCCAGGCTTGGAATTCACAGCTCCTTCATTTAAAAGCAGATTTAGATGTTTGTATCTTCAAAAAGAAACCATTAAAGGTTTACATTACAAAAACTTCATGTACTTCTTGCACCTTTGCCCTAACATCCGGTCAGTGTTTGCTGTGCTGAGGAATTTAAAATCTGAGCTTAGGGACAGAAGTGTCTGTGCCTTTTTTCCTTGCACATCTGCAGTGTTTATCTATGCAACCTAAATGATACCTGGTTTAGAGAGGGTGGAGAATTGGGTGATAGATTCTTTTTGTGGGCTGACGTGCCATGCTGTGTAATAGAATTCACCCTCCACTCCACTCTACAGTCCCCGCTGCAGAAATACCGTCTGAATTTATAATCCTTTAGAGACAGACAGAGCTGGATTCCTGCCTTAGAGGTGTCAGGGAAACTCAATTAGCACCCAATTAGCTCCTTGCGTTTATAAGAACCAGTGCTTGTACTGGGGCTTGCAAGAAGTTTTTCATGTTGAAGCATTATGGAACTTATCTCCATTTTTTTCCCTACTGTTAACCATTGTTTGACTCTTAGTGATAAGGATTATTTGATCCTTTGAACACTTGTTTTAGGGAGAAAAAGCGTATTTCCCTCAGGATGTCTGTTAAAGACCTGTGTTAGGACTAATAACTTCAGTCACATTGTTCTCATATGGTGACTGATTGGGAATCTTCTATTGAAAAGTCCATCTGTGGTCAGTATTAAGTTGAAGATCATAGAATGGGTTGGGTTGGAAGGGACCTTAAGACCATCCAGTTCCAACCCGCTGCCATGGGCAGGGACACCTTTCACTAGACCAGGTTGCTCCAAGCCTCATCCAGCCTGGCCTTGAACACTTCCAGGGATGGGGCATCCACAGCTTCTCTGGGCAACTTGTCCCAGTGCCTCACCACCCTCTCCAGGAAGAACTTCTTCCTGATATCCAATCTAAACCGCCCCACTTTCAATTTAAACCCGTTACCCCTTGTCCTGTCACTACAGACCCTTGTAAAAAGTCCCCCCCAGCTTCCTTGTAGCCCCTTC